CTCACTGAAGAATACCATTTGCATTTCTGCTTTGAAACAATTCCTTAGTGGGAGTTTTAATAGTATTAAATACAGAGAGGAAGACTGTTTTGTTTTGTCTTTTCTCCCCAGGATGGAGCGTGAATATCCTGTCTTCTCACAGCCCTGGAAGAGAATGATCGTTCTAGTCCATTGACTTCTAACAGATCATTCAAGTTAAAAGTCAGGGGTCTTGGCAATGTCAAAAGGTTTAGCACTTAGAGAGCTTTCTGTTTTGTTTCTTAGAAGAGTTGGTTTTTTTCTCAGTGTTGACAGTATATATAGTATTTCCCCCAAAAGAGTACTGTTGATTAGAGAGTGTCACAAAACTCGCCTTAAGTTTTTCTTTTCTTTTAAGATCATTGGAAAGAGTGATTATGTGTGTGGGTTTTTATTGTTGTTGTTGATTTTTAAATAATAATCAAAGAAAGCAACCTTGTGTTTCAGTGAACAAATACACTATGTGAAAGCAAATACATTACTTGCTGGTTCAAGCAGGGGTCAGCCTCCATGGGTTGCCCCACTGAAAAAAAGACTGGATGGTTAAGTGGGTCTTTCTTTTTCTTGCTTACTCCTCAGTTCCCAGAAATTACTTCTTTCATTTCTAGCAATTCTGGGAGCTAGAAATATATATATATATATAGTTGTTATTAAGTGCCATCGAGTCGGTTCCAACTCTTAGTGACCCTGCATAGGGTTTCCGAGGAACAGCTGGTGAGTTTGAACCACTGACCTTGCGGTTCAGACTGAGCTTGCGGGTCCAGTGCTTTATTCTGCAGCATCACACCAGGACACCATACCACACACACCTATATATTTATTTCCCACCAAACCCATTGATGAGTTGATTCTAGCTCATCATTGATTGCGAGGTATTGTAATCTACTCTTTGGTTGTTTATTGCCTGTTCAGACCTGCAGCCCCCAGCTTCAAAGCCAGTGCCCCCCACCACCAGCAGCATAGCCCACCCCATCTAGGAATGCAAATGGTGTGGCATTTTGAGCACCTTTGGATGGATGATCTGTTCCTTCTTTGGGGTTAGTCCCCAGGGAGAAATTACCAGGTCAGGGGGCTTGAGCACTTTCACAGATCTTATTACATGTCACTAGATTGCTGTCCAGAAAGATTGAACCAATTTCTAGAGCTCCCAACTGTGGTCTGTCTCCTCTGGCGTCCTTACACTGGATGTTAGCGTGTTTGTCATTGTCCTTTTTTTTTTTTTTTAAGCAAAATGATTAAGTCAAAGCTGAAGCTGGAGTGGAAATTAGCCCAATGCAGAGCCCATTAGAGCCAATTTATGAAGCAAAAAAGGATTAACTTTGACTTTTGAATTGATCAAAAATAATCAGTTGTTCACCCTCTCCCCCGACCCCATCCTCAAAAACAAAGTTAAATGAAGCTGAATTCAAATTGAGAGATCGGGGTTCCATGAGAGACTAGAGTCTTCAAGGATAAAATAGTTTTTGGACATTAGCCATGAAAGATAAATGCTTAAGAAATCTTTAATGCACTTGAACTTTCATCAGGCGCTAAACGAAATGGGTTCTATGTTACTCAGACAGTGGTAAGCCTTTAACAGACGGGAAAAATAACATGGGTTTACATTTTTTGAGTGACGAAATGCTTATAAAAATACAGGTATTCTTTAAAACCGGTTAGGGTTCATGTCTTTATTTACGTCTTCTGTGGAGTGCATTCATGCGTTCAGTAGGCTCCCAGCCTCCCTGGTCTTGGGGGGTGGGAGGGTGCACACTCTCCAAGTCTGCTAGTCTCAAGTCACAGGATAACTTTATGAGAATATACCCACAAAGGTAAAGGAGAGGGGCTATTCCCAAATTCTCTCCTTGGGGGAGGAACTTCCTGTTGGACAACATGAAATAATCTGCCAAATGGTATCGATTGGCTGTGATTTTATTTCCAAACGCTATGGTTCTTTAAGGGGCTCAGGTGTAAGTTGGGCAGTGTTTTGTATTGTGTGTAATGTCACTAAAAGTCGGAACGGACTCAGTGACACTTCACAACAACACGATTCTTCAACCGAGCGCACGAATTTGTTGTTGAAGGCATTGTCGTCATGTTTCATGAGGAGACTCTCTGAAGTTCTCCCTGAAGATCCAAAGAGGCTAAAAGAGCACACTTCCTTTTGATTCCAGGCTTCGTGTGTAGGAATCTTCAGCCCAGGGGGAGCTGGGGGAGACTCCCAGTCGGCTGCTAACTGAAAGCAGAAGGCAGGTTCAGGTGACAAATACATTGGAAAATACTTTTTAAAAAAACCTCAGGTGTGTGTCAGCACAGAACTGTGTTCCATAGGACTTTCAGTGGCTGATTTTTCTAACAGTAGATCTCCATTCCTTTCTTCAGAGGTACACCTGGGTGGACTTGCACCTCCAATCATTGTGTTTAGCAGCCAAGTGTGTTCATCATTTGTACCACCCAGGGGAATCCAAGAGAACACCTACCTATGCCTTTATAAGAAGTCTGCATTTTGTCTCCTTAAAATGCAGATAGAGATTAGAAGGCCCAGTGACAGGTTTCAAAATGTGTTAGACAGTATGTCCGTATAGTCAGGCTGAGCAGTGTTGGGCCAGGCAGCTTCCGGGTGTGCGATGTGGGGAGAACCATTCTTAAATTCCTCATTAAAATGAGTGACATACAGGAAGTAAATTCTCACTTCCATCCCATAGATTCTAAACAAAGGCTTGTTGGGCCTGGGAGCTTAAGTCAGAGACTCTCCCTCCTATAGGGACCTGGTCGATTCCAGATCTAGATAGTAACAAGATGTCAGGGCAAAATCTATCAGCTTTAGAGCACACACAACATCCAGGAACCTGCATGCACACACATGCAGAACACTGCCCAACCTACACCTGAGCCCCTTGAAGAAGAACCATAGCGTTCGGAAATAAAATCACAGCCAATCGATACCATTTGGCGCAGATTATTTCACAGCGCCATCTTAGGTTGGTGGGCTATTTTAAGTCTGTGTAACATAACAGTTCAAATGTGATGGCTATAGGATCAGCTCTGGATTGCTAACCACAAGGTTGGCGGTTCAAACCCACCAGCCGCTCCTTGGAAACCCTGTCCAGTGTTTCTATGAATTGTTCAAATTGAGGAAGAGGTCTTTATGAGTTGCATCAAATGAGCTCTCTGATTTTTGTAGCTTCTCAGTTTTTTGTTTTTAAGATTATACATGCTTTCATGTGTATGCACTCATAGTGTCACCTGTAATGACTAGTTCCTTAAGAGAGGAGAAAAAGCTTATAAACGAGTATCCTTGCTTTTATTTAAGTTTCTAGAAATTGGACAGGTAACATCAACATCAAAACATCATTGCTCGTCGGGGAAGGTACACATCGTTGGTTTGCAAATGTATTCACTATCTTTTCAAATCATTCCTTATTGGACCTGGAGTGGTAGCTATCCAAAACGGTCCATCAGTCCCTCTGTCTGTCTTGTCTGTCCTTCTGTCTGAATGTTCTGGCTGAGGGAGGAGAAGGGGGGCTTTCTGAAACAGTGTGGTCCAGGAGAGTAGTTGCAGGTCCGTATCTTTAACGTCATGGTTGGTTCTCTGTTCTTTTATTTCTGTATGGCTCCCCTAGCTGCTGCAAACCTTCTCTTCCAGTCCTCATCACAAGTGTAAATAGCGTTGCCTTGTGAAAAGGTCTCTTTGGAGCCTGGTAATATACCTTATTAAATTCCACACATAATACGTATTGATGGCAAACACATCAGGACCCAGTATGCTTGCACGATATGATTGAGTTCTCTACAAACATCAGGCACTCAGCTGCCAGTGCATTTTGCTAATTACATCATAGATTTCCCTATTGATGAACACTGAGTGAATTAACACGCAAGCCCTAATGTACCCTTTCACCATTATTGTTGTACAAGCAGCCCTGGCAGATGCTGGCAGATAGTTACACAAACATTAGTATTAACGATTGGCCATTTGGAATTGGTGACAAACTACTGCCCCAGCTGAATCCTGAGACTGAAACCAATCAGGAAGTTAATGAGGAAAGAAATCACCAGTGGTGCTTCCCTTAATTATATCCACACCAGGCAGGCAGGGAGTGCCGGGGGTGGCTCCTAACTCTGCTAAGGTGAAGAAGGTCAGAGAGGCTTTCTGCTTACATTTTGTATCTCCTGCAAACGTTTGTTTAAAAGAATTTTTTTTATTATTACTTTTAATAGCTCTCTCCTGGTAGAGTTCAGTGTTCTTCCCTTATCCTTGAAATCCTCCATCTGACTAATATTTCAGAGGGCTGTAAGGCAAATTATATTTTTTTAATGTTCCCGCTTATTTGCTACATTAAAAAAAGTTACGTATGTCCATCCCTAACTCCCCCCAATGAGTGTATCCCTGTGCCAAGAGGAAAATAGCAGGAAAGGCCCTGTGCTATACATATCCTCTTAGAATGAAGTCAGCTTCACTAGCTGTGTATCCAAACTGAAGTTAGCTGTCAGGCGGTGGGAACACATGGGTGGAGAGTCACTGAAGGTAATTTGTCAGATCGATTGCTTGACAAGGTAAGTACCATTAGCATCGTTTACAATAAGGGGCTGGGGGGTGGGGTGGGGGTGGTCCGCGAAGGGAAGGGACTAATTTCCCCAAAGGAGGAGCAGCCTTTTAGAAAAAATTTTGTTGCTTTTGTTGAAAATATAGACACAACAAAACATCCATCCATTCATTAATTTCTGCTTGTACATTTCAGGGCCACTGATTACATTCTTCAAGTTGTCCAACCATATTCTGTTTTTTTTTTAAGTAAATACAAAAGCAGAGTCTGGGCTACCTCACTTTCCCCTCCAGTTAAACAGCTCCACTGTGCAGAAAGATGCCCTTTAAAAAAAAAAAAAAAGTCCTACAGAAATTCTAGGGATTGTAATCCTAAATAGAGTGGGGCCGGGAGCGGCTTTCTTTGTGGGGACTTGGGAGCGCGCTTCTAACGCGCTCTTTTTGCTCTCTCTGCCAGTCTTCTCGCAGCCCAGCAGCCAGGACCCAGGCCTCGTGTCTCTCTCCAACAACTCTCCTATCAGCAACGAAAGCACAAAGGGGGTGCTGGAGTGCGAGTCAGCGCCCGAGCCCAGCAGCTTTGCGGTGACCCGGGTGATGAACGAAGACGAGTGAGCGGCGCTGCGGCCGGCCGTGGCGACTCGCGGGGACTCCGTCCTTGACGCACGCACAGGGTTTGTTGTTGATATTTTGCCAACTTCACAGTTGAGATGGTGTCTGCTTTTTACGCCCTAGAGTTCAGCCCCGAGGCCAAAAACACATTTGTAATCCTTCAGCGTCCTGGGATTTTTCCCACCCGCCAGAATTAAGTGCTTTGAGTTGCTGGGGTTTAAACAGTAACGCCCCTCACTTTCTTTCTTTCTTTTTTTTTTTTTAATGACACTGGTTTACAAGTAGTTAAAAAAAAAAACAAAAAATCCAAGAATTCATTCAAGTAAAGCATTGTGTTTCCATCTAAATGAAGCCTCATTAGATGTTACTTTTAGTTTCAAAATGAAATCTTTGGCACCTTAGACATTTCTTAGTTTTAGCCCATCAAACTGCAAAATATAAATTTAGCCAAGTTCCTAACCTGTGTGTGTGTGTGTGTGTGTGTGTGTGTGTGTGTGTGTGTAGAGGGAGGGGGGAGAGCCCAGCAGGCAAAATTAGAGATTCTCTTAGAAATTCAACAGAAGGTTGGGATAAATGAAAATACTGGATTTTGTGTTGTGTGTGTTACTGTTGAAATCAGTCCATCGGCCCAAAATATAACTGAAATATAGTCAAAAAAGAACTGAATGCCCTTTAAGAGTTGCTGCTTGCTCTCTAAAGGGTCATTTGAAAACAATCTAATTTCAAGTTACCCAGAGTTCCTGAGTTTTGCTTCTAGAACAAAGCAAGAGTTTATCACCTACATTCATTCTACTATAGGGGGGAAATGGATGCATTGTAGATGATTTTGTAACCTTAGACTGTAATCTGACTGTAAAATAAGTGTGCCTTTAAAAGTTACTATAGATTTCTGAGTTTATTATTTTGTTAAAAATTGCTTATGGAATACCGCCTTCTGTAACAGAAGCCATCCTGAAATGAAACTAGTCTAAAAAAAATTCATTGTTCTCTTGTAGTTGCAGGCTGTACCTGAAATAAAAATGTTATTGATGACTGAATTTTCTTGTGTGTATATTTGGCGAGCGGTATTAAACAGGAAAAAAAAGAAATTACTTGTATTTTCTTCGCTCTGTGCTTTGTAAACATCTATTTTATTTCACCCCCATCTGTTGTAATCAATAACCTGACCATCTTGTTTTTTATTAAATGCACTTACTCTTAATTTCATCCACCAGTGGTTTTAGAGAGAATAATGTGGAGTTACCTATAGCGGTTTGACATTATAAATCACTTCTTGGGGCTGAATCGGATAGCGGTATCGATTGATCCTGATATATCACAGAAATTTACTGTCACTTCTGTTTTCAATTAAAGATACAATCAGTCAGATAATGACTTAATTGGATTTTACAGAAGATTGAGTTTTATTGCCCAGTGCTTTACGAGTTTAGTTAAGGAAGATCATTTAATCACACTTGTCAAGAGACGGCTCCTACTGCAGCCTAGTGTCCTTCTGCGGCTGTAGCTATTGTGACAGCCACGCAGGAGGCTGTGGGCGCTCAGGGGAGCCCCAGTCAAGGCAGGCAGGCGAGCACAGGCATGAGAATGCCCCTCCACCTAGGAGCCCCTGCCCACGGCCAGAACCTCCTTTGAACAATCCTAACTGAACTATGGAGGACTCTGTACCATCAAGTCGGTTCTGACTCATGTTGTTAAGTGCGGTTGAATCTCACTTCAGACTCATAGCTACTCTCTTAGAGTTTCCGAGGAGCGCCTGGTGGGTTTGAACCGCCAGCCTTGTGGTTAGCAGTCCAGTGTTGAACCCTAATCTTGCTGGAGACGCTGGCCTCCATGGGGTTTTCCAGTCCCTTGTACTAGCAGAGATCCTTCTGTTATGTGCTGTCCTGTCTCAGTGACCCTGGATAGGGTTTCCAAGACGAAATAATTGCGGTAGCAGAAAGCCTCATCTTTTTCCTGAGTAGTGGCTGGTGGGTTTGAAACGACAACCTTGTTGTTGGCAGTGTGTCCAGTGCTTAGGAGCCACAGCGGCGCTCCTTAAGTGCCCCATATGAAGAAACCTGGTTGAGCTAGTTCTGTGCTCCAGGTTCTCTTAGCCTGAACTAATCCCCCAACCCAAAATGTGCCTCAGGCCCCGGGCCCCGAGGGGCCTCTCCCAGCCCAGGGAACCAGCACTCTCTCTATGCCTAGGCATAAAGCATGGGGATCCAGGCCGGGTATCCAAGGGCACTGGTGGGTTTGAACCGCCAACCTTGTGTTTAGCACTTCTTGCCTAATCCCCCACCCCAGGAAGAGGGCCCAGGCAAACTTGGGCCACGTAGGTCAAAGACCAACGAAGACTAGTTTCCAAGCGCCCTCCACGGGTATTTGTGTACCGGTGACTTCTAGAGAGGATGGAGCACTCAAGATCTGGCCATGTGGTCTGCTCTGTGTGTTGACCAAAGTCTGAACATTACAACGCAGTGCCCAGATTGTTAGCCTCCGTGTGCTGGGCCGCAGCCATAACTTAAGCATGCCCAAAAGGAGCTCTGGTAACGTAGTGGTTAAAAATCAGGCTGTGAATCGCAAGGTCAGCAGTTCGAAACTACCAGCGGTTCCGCGGGAGAAAGCTGAGGCGTCTGCTCCCGTAAAGATTTACAGCCTCGGAAACCCTGTGCAGGGTCGCTATGAGTCGGAACCGACTCCACGGCACTTAACAACAACAAAAGGCGTCGAAGGAGCTCTGGTAACGGTAACGTAGTGGTTACGAGTCGGGCTGCTAACCTCCAGGTCAGCAGTTCGAAACTACCAGCGCATTCCACGGGAGAAAGATGACACTTTCTGCTCCCGTAAAGATTTACAGCCGTGGAAACCCTGTGCAGGGTCGCTATGAGTCCACAGCACACTACCACCACCACCAAACGTCGGGTTCCCCAGTTGTGCCAGTGTGCCCAGGCCTGGAAGGCTCCTACTTGAGTGCATGCGCCCTAGGCGGACTGCGGGTGTGGGGCGGGGCAGACCTCCATGAGCTTTGACAGGCGTCCCCGAGGGCAAACTGAGTCAATCGCCTAGGCGCTTGGCAAACTTCTGTGGGGCTGGGGGCACAGAAGTACGCGACTTCCCCAGGGCCACCCCCAGACTCAATGTAGGATAGTGGGAGATACACAACCCCCGGGGATCCAGCACGCCCTGGGTGAAACTGTAACCTCCTCGCTGCCCCATCCGCGGTCACACCCGCAGTGAGGATCCTTGGACAGCCAGCGCAGAGGCTAATCCGGGTCCAGGTTTAAGCCAGTGGAAGGAAGACTTGGAGTCCTTGAGGGGAACCGGACTCCCCTCTCCGCCTCCTAGCAATCAGTGTTCCCTTCGTGGACGCGGGAGGCATTTCTCTGTGTACCCTGCTATATAGACAGCCTTTGTGGGCCGGGGAGGTACCCAGGGAGAGGTGGGTTTCTGGACGCATGGGCGCACCTTTGCTGGGTTTGCGCGGAAAGCTGGTGCCTTGTCTCCACCTGCTTGGCCTTACTTTTTACAAGGGGTCCCCGCCGGGCCTTTGCTCGGTGCCTTCACGTCCCTCCCCAGATCTGAACCCCGAATAGCAGCTAGCAAACTTGGCTTTAGTTCCAGGCCGAAGCGGGGAGGCGGGGCGGGGCGGGGTGGGGCGCAGGCGCGCGGGAAGTCTCTGGACCCTGAGACCCGCTCTTGAGGAGGGCGTATCTGGGCCTGGCTGTCTCCCCAATGGCCGTCCCTGGAATAACTCTCCAGTTCTGGCACGTAGAGTGCCCACCCACTCTCACGGGAGCTGGCTCGGTATTGAAGCTGTACCGCCTCCCCTCTACTTCCCTGGTTCCTGATTTGGGGCTGGGGAAGGGAGAGACGGCGGGAGAGTGGCCTAGACAAGAACTTGCTGGCTCTGAGAGTCAGTCTTTTGGGGGGAAGACGCTGATTTTCTTGTTCCTTCTCTGTTGCATAAATCACCTAAGATTATTTCCTTGGACTTTTTGTTTGGTTAATTTTAAAGTTTCAATGGGTTAAGGGGTTGACTGTTACCCTAAGCCCCACGGGGAGAAAGACCTGGTGATCTAGCCCTATAATGATTCAAAGAAAAGGGGGGAAAACAAACAAAAGTAGACCCATTGCCATTGAGTTGATTCGAACTCATTGCAACCTTATATGACAAAGTAGAACTTCCTCTCAGAGTGTCCTAGGCAGTCACCTTCACCGGAGCGGGTCCCCGGACCTTTTATTTCCCACGGAACCACTGGTGGATTTGAACCACCCACCTCTGAGGTGGAGAGGGGAGAGTGGGGGGAGCAGTTTAACTCTTAACCACTGTTAAGAAACCCTATAGGGCAGCTTTGTGGGGCAGTTCTCTGCCACATGGGGTCTCCAGTGGCCTGGAGGGTACCCAACAACTGAACATAAAGTCAGCGCTGTGCCTTGAATTGGGAGAAAATGCGGTTATTTATTTTCTCCAGCAGAGGAATCTTCTGGGACTACCTTGTCCTGACCAGACTCCCTGGTATTGGCCTTGTACATCTCCTCATCCCCCAGCACCCCCACCCCACCCCACTCCATTCCCCATCCTGACCCCATGTGGCAGAAGTCCAGTCAGTCCTGGGATGCTCTCTGCGTCTCTCTCCTCTCTTGTCTCTCTCTGGTGAACAGGGTCTAGGTCTGGGGCTGCTCTCTCACGCCTTGGGGAAGTGCAGGCCAAGGCCCCCCACTCAGTGGGCAGCTCAGATGAAGCCCCTCTGGAGTGACCCTTCCTCTCCTGGCCTGAAAGGTGGGCAGCTCTGCCAGAACTCTGCAAGGGCTGGGCCCACTGCTGTCTCAGCCTCCAGAGGTTCCACACCATGAAGATAGAGTGAACTGTCTAGGACCACAGGCCGTTCGGCACTGCCCAAGGCCTGTTACTGTAGGAATGACGTTTATTCACAGGTGTTCTGTGTTGTGGATGGACCATGGCCAGGTTCCCTTTCCCTTGCGCACGTGTTTCTCCCCAGGTACCAGATAAAGACCTAGGGGCATCAGTACCACCTCAAGAAATCGGTCAGTGGCCTCCTGCCGCTTGGCTAGACACTTGCCCGTCTTTTGATTCAATTCTGGCCAAGTCTAAGACCGAGTGACAGCGAGAGTCTAGCGGCGAGGTCCCACCAGAGAGAGTGAGGCAGGATTCCTTGGCCTCTGTAGAAGTCTTTTCCCTGAGCAGTCTCTCCACACTCACATGAAAACGACAACATAGACACTCGAACCTCCCTGGCCAGGACAATCCAGCAAAGCAGAACATTGTCGGATGCAGGCCACATCCAGGACAGTGTGAAAGGATCCTTTTGATTTAGTGTCGTTTGGGGTGGGGAGCAGCGACCAGGACACCCACACATGGGGTCAGAACGCGCTTGTTTTTTCTGCAGGGGCACCTGCATTCTGACCTTTAAAATATACACACACCCTGCGATTGTGTGCGCGCTGAGAAAGAAATGCATTGACACACTTTATCCTCCCCCCTTTGGCTATGAATACTGTCACCATCCTACCCAGTTAATTGGGGTTTGAACACACACACCCACACATACCCCACCTAGAACTGTGCAGTAGATTCAATCCAGCAAGGTCACATTTACTTGTAATGCCTCCCTTTCCAATGGCTTTGATGCTTTTTCCCATACGTGTGTAAGCTGCCCGGGACATGGGGGAAGCAGGCCACCCCTCCTAAATGTGATTCGAACCATATGCTTCCACATTCATTCCCGTACCGGCTTTTCTTCTCTGCACGTTATAGTCACCTGGAAATTTCCTCTGCTATTTTCCAATTAAAAGCTTAATAGCCCTGGAAACGGAGTTCATGTGGTGAAGTTTACCAGAGCCCCTTGTTCTGAAAGGCTTTCTGCTGGGATCCCATTTTGTGCTTGAATAAACCCTTTCTGCAAACAGAAATGGGACTCTGGCTTGTCAGGTGTTGGGTTTCAATAGACTTTGAGGCAGGGGACGTTTTACCAACATAAATACGAACCTGTCCCTATAGGGAGATGTTGTCAAATACTGGGATATAGAAAACATTCCCATCAAATAGGAGAAAGGGGTTATGGTGCTATATCAAATGAGGATTTAGATCACAGCCTCCAATGTGCAGTGGAGTGAAAGGGGCCCCAGGACCAAAGAATGCCAGACTGTTTGAATGGCAAAGGATCGGGTGGCTAGGTGACCGAGCAAGGAAAGGGAGTCTCCTCGGTAGTGAGAATGTCCCCCAAACCTGGGCTGAGCTTGAGTTCTTCCCTTTTATAAAATGCTTTACTACCAAGTTACTTGGACTCTCCAGTTTTCACTAACCCTTCCGAGAAAAATTGGAGAAAGTTGGCTTTGCAGAGTCATGGTGCCCACACTCCTAGAGACTCGATTTCAGCATGAAGTTCGGTGTCATGCTCAGCCCTCTCCTTCCCTCAGCATGTGAAGCGACTAGTGGCCACTTGCTGGCCTTAGGCCACGGGGGTGGGGGTGGGAGGTGGGGGGGTTTTCGGTGACCTGCGCCTTCTGCTTCTGGTGCGGAGAGCTCTAGATGAAGTTCCTTGTGCTGTTATATTTGACAGCTGGTTTCTGTCAGGTGACAGAGAAGGGGCGAAGAGGTGAAGTCCAGGGACCTGTGCTTGGCACGGCTTTTGAGGTGGACACTTCCCAGGGACATGCCAGCCTCCAGTGAGTCCCAATTCTGGGATATTTCACAATCTGTGGACAGGGATGGTTGCGAGGGGCTTCAAAAACAAATGCACACACCAGGCTCCCTTTGGGACCCCTCTCCAACTGCCCTTCCTCACGGAGGGATTTTGGGCTTGAACCCAGTGCCTGTGTTTTGCTCAAATTCCCAGCGGATGAGGGAAGTTTTTAGGGTCGCCTGCAGGTTTTCAAGGGCTGTGCAACAGAAGGGTGGGATATTGCTGGGGGCTTATCTGCAATTGGATTTGCATTTGATTCACTCAGCCCACCAGGGAATGAGGCCAGGTCAGTTCCCAGGAACGTGAGGAGAACCAACACTTCTGATAGCATCTCTTCTTTCTCGAGGTGCACTTCATCCACTGGATCCAACTGGGGGTTTGGCTGTCCCTGTTTTGGGCTATTCCGTTTTGGGGGGTGGGTGGGAGTCTTTTGTTGCAGGAAGGCTGTTGTTGTTAAGTGCTGGAGACTCAGTTCCGACCCATAGCGACCCTGTATAAGGTTTCCAAGGATCGCTGGTGAGTTTAAAGTGCTGTCCCTGCTCGACCTTGAAGTGGAGTGCTCATCCTACGGTGCCACAAATACAAAAATAAAAAAAAGTCAAAGCAAAGTCTGTCATCTGTGCAAAGGTCATGGCCTGCGTCCACCCAACAGTGCAATGGGGAGAGTGGGGAAGTGCCCCCCCATGCCTCATATCCATAACCCAATCCATGAGTCCAAGGGAACTGAGATTGGAAATGGCGTCTCAGAAGCTGGGAGCTGTATCCAGAACTTTCCGGCAAACTCATGGTTGCTCTGCTCCCCGCTGCTCTCTGGAAGTTTAGACCCAATACTTCAGAGATACCTCCCGGCCTTTCAGAACGACACTGCCGTTTATTAAAACATCCGGGGTGGAAGCATGGAGAAATAAATAAAATTCACGCTAAAGCGGGGAATTGTTCTCCCCTTTGAAATGGCCCACAAAATGGTTTGTCATCTTTGGGCAGGCAGGTTGTTGAAAGCATTCATTTTCTGCTACTGTGGCAAAAAAAAAGTTACGAAAGGAATTTAAGAAGGAACCCAAGTCTCCCGGTCCAATACCATCCCTGCACCCTCACCTCCAAGGAGCCCTGGTGGTACAGCGGTTAAGCGCTAGGCTGCTAACTCAAAGGCCAGCGGTTCGAAGGAGAGAAATGTGGCAGTTGCTTTTGTTAAGGATTTCTGCCTTGGAAACCCTATGGGGCAGTTTTACTGTTTGGTAGGGTCGTTAGGACTTAAGATCGACCGGAGGGCAGTGGGTAACCCCAATTCCACGCCTCTGGTGCTCGCAGTGCTTGGCTTGAGCGATTTTAAAGTCCCTATCGGGCCGCACGACCGTTCGTCAGAGCGCAGTGGTTTGGGTCGGCTCCGATCGCCGCGGAGCTGAGTTCTTGAGGCCCAGCGTCGGGATCCAGGCGGCCTCGGAGGCGCCCAGGCAGGCCTGGAAAGAGGGGAGGGAGCGGCCGCCTCGCCCCCACCCTCACCCCCACCCTCTCCCGCCGGCCCTCCCCGTCCCCGCCCCCACGTGCCCTGCGGGTCCCGGGGCGCCGCAGTCCCTCCCGCCGCGGGCGGTGCAGAGGGCTGGGGGAGGGGGCCGTGAGCGCCCCCATCAGAGTGGCCGGGCTGCAGGTGGCGAGGAAGGTGAAGTGCAGGGACCCTAGGGGAGCGCTCGGAAGGCAGGCGGGCAGGCGGAAGGCGTGGGGTGGGTGGGGAGTGCCCCGAGGCCGGGTC